ATTATGGCTTTACATCAGAGGAATCATCATAAATATAAGTCATTGATATGCATTGTGACTATTCAGTGCCATTTGGTACACATTTATACAATAATAAAGAGAGCTTTGCTCAAAATTATCAAATCATAAGGCAAATGTTAAGCTTATTAGCATCATGATAAGATCAATGTTAGAGTTATCCAGAGTTATCACGCTCATTACGATTTTCAGGGCTATTGTGTAGCCCTGTTTTTTTAGTTCAAAGTTGTAGCTGAATCATATTTAACGAAAGTATTTGTACAACCCTAAGCCAAATGAGAAACTTTCAAATATTTTCACCTGTATGCTACCATTTGTTTGTATTGTACATGTACAATTATAAATTATGAGATTGTGTTGTGACATGCCCGTATCATGATCAAAATTCAATCGCTTAATATAGAAATCATTCAGGGAGTGAATATATATAAAACATAGTCCAACGTTAAAGTTTAAAGAATATTGTCAGATAATTCGCAATTACAAGCTTTAGCACATAAGTATTTATAAGTAGAAAGCCGATAGGCTCGGAATGCAAAGGCAAATGGCAACGCATGTGACATATATTTGCATATTATTTATGTAGATACACATGCAAATATATTATTAAAGCCAGTTAAATTGTAGACAGGGCCCTTTGAACTACCTATAAGATTTACACTAATGTACATACCTTTTCGTTGTTTGATGCATAATCCTTTTTTGTGTAGATATAAAAATCCAATCTTGTTTATTTCATAAAGCTAGGCGCACACACGACGATTTTAGTCGGTCGATTCCTGTCTAGATTGTCTAGATGGATGTTTTCATCAAAATGTGGTGACTGGCGATCTATACTTGGTCATAATATTAGCTAGACCAAGTAGACTCGCGTACACGCGCGAGGCGCGAGCGCCGCGAGAAGGAAAACATGTCTGGGCAAGGGCTGCCTATATGTCTAAACCTGAATGAACCAACTACCGTAAAATCGTTGTGTGTGCGCCCGGCTTAAAGCAGGGACTTTTGCCTGGTCCGTTAACTTACCTGTTGATATCACGTGCGCGGATTGCAAGAAACGGAAGAAATATTGGTCACAAATAAAACTAATGTAATTCCGAGGCCAGTTTTGGCCAGTAATTCTGAGGTCACAACTAATATCTGAAGTTTGTGCTTAATATTACCTTCCAACGCGGATTTTAGCCTTGTAATTTGTAATAAAAAGATCGGTAATTTGTGCTTCATACAGATACCTTTCATACAGAGTTTAGCCTTATTCTAGACAAACAGTGCAAGCGAGCGTTAGGTGATTTCAGCACCTCTCTGGTTAGGTGTGTGTTCGTCGTCGAAATCCATGTTGGGACTCTCCACGATGGATTCCTCCGCATTCATCGTTTCTTTGGCTGAGAATGGTTGGATTTCATTTTCTTCGAATATGACATTACAGGCTTTGATGATTTTCTTCGAATCGAATTCTTGTAGGATGTAAGCTGTGCTTTTATCATCATAACCGATAAATTTAGCTTTTGTTGATCTCGAATCCAATTTTCTTAAGTTGATCTTTCGTTTCATGACGTATGCTGTACACCCAAAAACTCGTAGATGATTTCGTCTTGGGGGTTTTCCGGTAAAGAGTTCGAATGGACTTTTACCTTCTTTGCTGTTGGCACAAACGGTGAGGTTTCTGATATGAACTGCTGTAGATAAGGCTCTTACCCAATAGCGTTTTGGTAACCGTGCTTGGATTATTAGACATCGTCCCATTTCAACTAGAGTTCGGTTGAAACGTTCCGCAACTCCGTTCTGTTGAGGTGTTTCTGGCACAGTATATTCTTGCTTTACTTTGGAATCTCTGCAGTAATTCTTAAATTGCTTTGAGGTATATTCGGCTCCATTGTCGCTTCGTAATCTTCGAGGTGTTCCTGATTCTGCGACATACTCTTTGAATTTTTCCAGTGCTTGGGATTTTTTGCTCATAAACTTAACGACTGAATGTTTTGAGTATTCATCAATGAAAGTGATCGCATATCTACATCCACTGAGACTAGGTACTTCAAATGGACCAACAATATCAGTGTAGACGAGTTCATGAGGCTGTTGTACATTGTTTTGAGACTCTTCGGGGACAGGTTTTCTGGATTGCTTTCCAAGTGCGCATGTCTCACATACTTCATTTGCATTGTCCTTGCAACCAACAGTGCGTTTGACATCGTCTTTATTCAAGTGTCCGAGACGTCGATGCCATAATGCGATATCTCCTTTAATTTCTTTCTCTCGTGTATTGCATGCAGCATTACATGCATTTGATCCTTGAAATATGATCTTCAAATAAAATAGTCCTCCATCTTCAGTTAGAGCGATCTCTGGACCATCTTTTAACATTAACTTTGCTTTGTTTTCATTAAATATGAACTTGTGTCCAAATTTGGTAGATCGGTTGACAGAAAGCAGGTTTACTTCATAATTTGGTACATAAAGGACGTTTCGAAGCACCATTTCTACCTCTACTCCATTTCTTGAGTGAAGCTTAACTGGTACGTCACCAATTCCTTCTACCGGTGTAAGATTTCCTTTGGGATCCTTGACATTCTTAACATTGCAAGGTTGTATGTTTGTGAACAACTCCTTCTTGGTAATGATGTGATCTGTGCAACCAGTGTCTATAATGAGATGATCTGGTTTTGCTTTACCTTTGCTTGTTTCCATGCCACTGTTCATACATTGAGAATATGATGAAAATGCTCCTTTTGCTTTAGTCTCATCTTGTTTACTTGAACCTCTTCATGCCTTTGGTAGATGACCTCTTTTCTTGCATTTCGAGCAAAAGGCTGAATTTCTTTTAGTGCATTGCTTGGCATAATGACCTGATAGTCCGCAGACAAAACAATTTCCTTTCGATTTGGTTGGACCAATGTTTTTACCTTTGGTATCTCCCGAGTGTAGTGCAACGGCGCTATCTTCATCTAGGTTTCTTTGTTGTCGACTTTCTTCATAGTTTTGTAATCGTGTTCGCAGCTCGCTGAAATTACTTGCTGGGTTGAAGCTTTCTTGTACCACAAAGTGCTCATACTTTTCTGGAAGTCCGTTTATAACTAGGGCATTAAACAGTGTTTCTGATATTTTCTCACCAGCTTCGGTTAGTCGAGATATAAGTTCTTGTGCTCGGATGAAATATTCTGCTAATTTTTCATTTTCGCCCAATTGTATTCGGGATATTTGACGAACTAAGCTTACAACAGTTGGTTTGTCAACATTAGAATACCTTTGTTGTAGCAGACGCCATGCTTTTCCTCCGTCTCCAGTACCCTCCGGTGACAGGCAGTCGTGTCGTATATACAAGAGACTGTTATTATCAAGAGCTAGGGCAATGTGACACCATGCCGTGTTATTTCTTTCGTGGATTTTCTCGATTTGTTCCTTTCTTTCTTGTACTTTTGTCTCCCATTCGGTCTTTTGTTCATTCGAAAAATCCTCCGCTAACGGTGCTATTTCTGCTGGCAACTCCTTTTTCCCGAGAAGTGCTTTGTATAGACCATTTGTTTGCATGTACGCCACAAATTTCGTACTCCACGCTGGATAATTCTCAGCTTTTCCATCGAAAACTAACCATTTTATCGTTTGACTGTCCATAGCTACGTTCTTGGCCGTCCTGAGCTTCCTGGGCCCATAACCTGTTAGATTATTTGGTTTATTTCGAATAATAATAGAGTATATTTAACAATTGTGTCTTGTGTTCTCGCTAAGCAAACAATATCTATCAACAATGGCCGACTAAAAAACCACAGAGCATACAGAGTTTGACCTGGCATTAATTATGCGTTCCTAGCGGCCATGTTGTTAGCCAGTGCGCTAAAGAGAGGCCCTATCCCCCCCGAACATTATAAATAGCTATCGCTATGTAAATAAACAGATCGCTCCCACTTCTATACTCTTCTAAAGGATAAGAACTAACAAAATCTGGTTTTGAGAAAAAAATTGAGCAACGTTTTTGTCAAAAATACGATTTTTCCAAATAGTTCTGTCTCGGCTGTTTATATTTCATACATATGTTCAAGCCGCCGCCATATGCAACCTTTCCCGGGGGGAGAAGGCCTCTCTTGAGCGCACTGGCTAAGCCAGGGGTACGCAAAATTAATGCTCTCTGTGTTGATAAAACAACGTGTCCGATGATCTCTATATATTACCGTGATGTTCTCTATAATTTATGCTAATAATATAAACTTGAATATTAATGTTAATGTTGATAAGTGTAACTGTAAATGTTAACGTTGATGAGTGTAACTGTTAATGTTAACAATATTTTACCCTAGAAAGGTCTAATAAACTCCAATGTAGTATATTTGGAACAATTATTTTGTTACATGGTATATTTTACCTCGATAAGATCGAATACGCCGAAATATGGAGGTGCTGCAGCAATTGGCATTAATTTGCTATTATTATTATATATATATATATATATATATATATATATATATATATATATATATATATATATATAAGTAACAAATGTCCAAGATCTGCTCAGTAGACGAAACATAGATATATCAAACACAAAGTCTACTACGCTTAGTTCTGATGAAGGTTGTGGAATACAATCGAAAATTTAATATATAAGCTTTAACAATTATTTATATTCAAATATACTTTGATTCGTAGTAGACTTTTTGTTTGATATAATATTTATATATATATATATATATATATATATATATATATATATATATATATATATATATATATATATATATATATATATATATATATATATACGAGACACAAGAAGTTAAATTTCTATTCAATTCGCGACTGTTCTGAGTTCAGTTTTAACAAGTTAAAATTAAACGACTCAATTTGTTATTTGCACTGAAATGTTCGGAAATAGTACAGAATTATTACAGCCTATTAATAGCTTATATATTCAAATTAACCGTTTCATCTTTTTGTAGATATCAATGAATGCGAAACAAATCCTTGTGATGAAAATGCAAATTGTACAAATGTAGATGGTTCGTATGAATGCACCTGCCATGAGGGCTATGAAGGAAACGGCAAAAATTGTACAGGTAGAGCTTAGAGACATAATTATTATTGGGCCTTATAATTATGTAATATATATACATATACTACTCTAGTCAGTGCTGCAGCCCCTTAGCATCTATTTATACGAGACGCAAGAACTTAAATTTCTACTCAAATCACAAAACTTTTAAGTTAAGCTTTTACAAGTGAAAATTAAACAGCCGCAGTTTGTTATTTGCACTGAAATGTAAAAAAAAGTAAATAATTATTAGCCTATTAATAATCTAAATAACTAATTCAACAATTTCATCATTTTGTAGATATCAATGAATGCGAAACAAATCCTTGTGATGAAAATGCAAATTGTACTAATGTACATGGTTCGTATGAATGTATCTGCCACAAGGGCTATGAAGGAAACGGCATAAATTGTACAGGTACAGTTTGGGACATATAATGCTTTAAAGTATTAAATAATACATATATACCATTGTGGTATTGGTACCACAAGGATTAGACTGATGAAAAAACTTTTTTCTTCAATTTGCCAGCAGAAAAACAGAAAGAATCGTTACCTGACTAAAACCTAAAATAATAATATTAACTGTTTTATGTTTTTTGAAGACGTCAATGAATGCAAAGAAAATCCTTGCGATGTGAATGCAAATTGCACCCATATTGATAGTTGGTATGAATGTAACTGTCACGAGGGATATGAAGGCAATGGCACCACCTGTACAGGTACATCATATCAAAACATGCAATTAGTATAGGTAATAGTATGGTTTCGAGTGCAATTTGGAAAAAACATGCACGAGTGAGTTTTTCAAAGACTCAAAATAGCACGAGTCCGAAGGACGAGTGCTATTTTGGTTCTTTGAAAAACTCACGAGTGTATGCTTTTTTCCAAATTGCACGAGAAACCATACTATTACTTGTTAATAATATACATGAAAATTTTCGAGACAAACACACGAGTATTTCTTGTATTTCTTTGTACATTTCTCTGTACATTTTGTTGATCGATTTTTCCTTTATATTGAATATTTCCTTTAGCGACGTTATATTTCTTAAATATTTTGTTGTGAAACCATTGTTTTAACGTTAAAAAGGTCGCGAAAATCCAAATTTCCGTTTTTTATTTCCGTCGCCATCTTGGTTGTTTTGTTTGGGGCAAGCATTATATTTTTCCCGCCAAAACGTAGCTCAAATTTGATTGGCTGATATATTTATGACAGCCAATCAGATTGGTCTGTTACAAATTTTTGCACTGTTGTTACAGATTTTTGTGCACGTGTTACAGATTTTTGCACTGTTGTTACAGATTTTTGCACTGTTGTTACAGATTTTTGCACTGCTGTTCGGGATTAATTGCACTGAAATCGACCAATCACAGTCGAGAAACATTTTCATGTATTTCTAGTTAACTAAGTTAAGGGTTACTGAGTTGGGTTTTTTTTTAAATGAGGGCCAGTCCCAGGCTCACATCAATCAAAACATCACAAACGCAAAACACTAAATACGAATTGGAAAAAAATAAGACTACAATAGTCTATGGAAAGGTACTTTGTAAACACGATAAAAATAGTAAATGTCGAATATATCGGAATGTGGCATATTCGACTTTAGTAAGGTCGGATATACCTGAATAAGTATGCATGGTATACCTTGGTATACCTTGGTAAAGTCGAATATACCGGAATTTGGTATATTTGATCGACCTTGGTAAAGACGAATATGCCGATTCTGCAGTATTTTTCAAAACAGTGAGCGAAAATGCTGTCAACGAAAATTAGTCAGCGAAAATGCCGCATGTATCCGCCACTGACATCTAAAGAGACAATACAGAATTATTAGCCTATAAAAATAACAAATTCAACTATATTTCATCTTTTTGTAGATATCAATGAATGCGAAACAAATCCTTGTGACGTAAATGCAAATTGTACCAATGTACATGGTTCGTATGAATGTAACTGCCACGAGGGCTACGATGGCAATGGCAAAAATTGTAAAGGTAGACAAATCAGCAGTTTGTTTACATTTTCCATAACCCAATAAGAATGCGTAAATATTCAATGCCTAGCTTGAAAAATGTGGGCAAATGTGCCCATTTGTTCAATACAAAACTCCTCCTAGTTTATATACGAGAAAAAAGAAATCAGTTGCGAGGAAAAGAAATCAGTTGTCGATAATTGGGGCGGGGGACATCATTCGTAAATATTCGTGTTGTGCGTAATCAATTTTTTCCAAAGTCTATACAGTCTGTTAACTTGAATATACAAATATTTATATACCCCCCCCCCCGTATATTACGGCTGTTTGTTTATAATACCTATATTACGGCTGTTTGCAAGCCACCGTTAACTGTGATAAATTTATAGCATTTGTTTACATTTCAAACTTTCAACTTTGACCGGAAAACGTTTAACCTCAAACTGTAAACCAATCAGGATGCGCAGTGACATTTGGTATTTTTGAAATGTCACAGCGTAAACAGTAGCTTATCCATGCTGGCTACGCCTTATATTTACCCCCACCCCCCTCAATTATCGCATTTAGTTTCGTCCTTGTAGATATGTATGGCGTGACTCTTTTCTCTTTAAGACATTGATGAATGTAATGGCGATAATGATTGCTCGTCAGACGCTGTTTGTCAGAATACCATCGGAAGTTATAAGTGTGTTTGCATTGCTGGATATAAAGGAAATGGACAGCATTGCGGTTAGTCTCACTATTTACATATTTCTGTTTCTTGTTTGCTGTGTCAATCTGTAGTAAGAGGAGAACTGTCCTTCTTTAAATCTTGATATAAAATTTCTGTGAAAGAGGATTTTATCGGCAAATGGGATACTCATGCAGTGCATCAGATGCCCTGGTCTAGATCCGCCCCTGTCATGCACATCCCTTGCCTAAGCCTTTGATCAACGCCCTGCTCCTTAACCTAACTTGTTATTGAATTGTGGTCGTGGAATTGTACAGTGAATTTTCACGCAATTGACAGTTAGATCTTTTCCTGGATACAGTCAATTAAATTTGCGATGATATCAAACGCGTCCCTAGCTTGCCCAATGCAATATTAAACTTGAGTTTGAGCATAGTGCAGAGCCGTAGCTACACCACTTAATAGAGGCAGTATACATATAATATTCATATATTCATAGCTCTAGCTCCAAAGAGACCAATCGGGCAAAAGACGAATTCTAGCTTTTAGCTACATACATCCTTGGTGTAATATGAAAAACAGGAAGCGTTTGTGCGTGTTAGGATCGCACAACACCACCACATTTACTAACTGTTCGTTTTAGCAAGCCAGTTAACTAGTAAACGGGAAGCCTCAATATGACTTAATACAATCCCCTTATTGATTAACATGTTTTACTCTATACTTTTACGTTACATAATATTTTTATTATATGTATATAGTATGCAGATATGTACGAACAGTCAAGGGGAGAAATAGCGCCACAGCATTGAGCATATTCATACAATTTTTTCTTATTAATATATAATATGTTGTATTTCTGCAGAGGATATAGATGAATGTACAGAGTCACCACAGAAATGCACTGGCGAAGGTCAATCATGTACCAACCATCTAGGAACATACAACTGTTACTGTACAAATCCTCAGCAAGAACTTATTCGTGGTGAATGTATTGGTATGTTTCCGGTTATCTTACACTGTTGAAAACTTCGGCGATTAGTATGGTCTCTGTAACTCCAGATTATATACAGTACTATTATTATTTTTTCAAAAAATGAACGTTTCAAAAAAATTTCGATTCAACTTCACAGAAGAGATGAATAATAACAACCCAAAATTTGCAAAGATGAAAAAACACAAACGCAGAGAAAAAAAACACATGTTTTTCATTACTTTAAAATTTCACTAACTTCCAGATGGGTTTTTTCAAAGTCCTGTCTTAGCATAATTTTGCTTAATGTGGCTCGAAACAGTTTTCAGAAATTCCATGTTCATCACTTTAGAACGCTCAAACAACGCATTTTTATGATTTATTCTAGGGATATTGGGGTTTTTTATATTTTGATGTCTTTGGTTTTGAATCGTATTAGTTTTAGTAACAGATCGTCCGTTGCTATGGCGACATTCGTGCACAAAATTCACTCCAAAATTACCAATTGCCTCGGATAGTTGGAAAAGAAGCACGGCGACACCCAATTCTTTTACGTGCATTATTTTACTTGGAGGAAAAACTAACAATTTGCAAAATATAAAAAAATTCTATCATGCCCCATTTTTCAAAAATGCAAAAATAACATTTTTCGATCATTTTTTTTTTGCTATTTAATCATTTGAATAATTTTGCTATTTGATCATTTGAATTTTTTTATATTTTGCTGATTGTTGTTTTTCTAACAAGTAAAACAATGCATTAAAAAAATTAGGGTTCACCGTGCTTCTTTCCAACTATCCGAGGCAATTGGTCATTTTGGAGTGACGTTTGTACACGCATGTTGCCATAGCAACGGACGATCTATTACAAAAACTAATACGATTTAAAAGTAGAGACATTAAAATGTATAAAAACCCCAATATCTCTAGAATGAGTCGCAAAAATGCGTTGTTTGAACGTGTGAAAGTGATGAACGATGGAATTTTTTAAAACTGTATCGAACCACCTTAATATAAAATGGGTTCAGGTTTTGACGTGATGAAAGTTTTAAAAAATTAATGTACACTCGCTTTAGCAACTAACGATATGCAAAATTCGCAGCAAAACGCATATATATTAACGGAAGAATATTTATCACTATTCTCACAGTGTTAAAAAACGAATAATTATATTACTTCACTGCAAAAACCATTACATTTAGTGAAGAATTCGTTCCGTTTCGTGTGAGCGTAACCCGGGTATTGTGTGCAAGCAGTGTGCTAACAATTTACCTTTGGGCCGGAATCAGAAATTCCGGGCTTGTACCATTTGCTTTCTAGACAGGAATTTCCGACTCCTGAAGGTAAAAAGCAACTATACCCCCAAATTTGAATATTGCAATTCCCTGGGCTGGGGCCAGTTGTTAAGGTGTAGGTTAAGAAAAGGATTGGCCAATCAGAGTCGTTTATTTCCGAATTAACTCGAATTTACGTATGCAAAATGTAACTCGAATATGATTTTTGGCACTTCACTCTATGTAGGTAAATTCTAGAGGTTTAAAGGGTCTTAATTTCGAGAGGAATACACACTTCAAATTCAAGTCAGGAACAGTTGATAAAAAATAAGTCAACTATAGGTTCTCCAGCAGGAATCAAACTTACGCTTTTGCGATGCAAGTGTAATGCTCTTGCCACTGAGCTACAGAGGTAGCTGACAAGAGCAAGCGTGGTTAATATGTATAACTTGGTAACGCCTGGAATAGGTGGGGTGAATCAATTATGATTTTTGGCATTCTAGAGGTTTAAAGGGTCTTAATTTCGACTGAAATTATACACACTTCAAAGGAAGAGTTGATGGAAAAATTAGTAAACTATAGGTCCTCAGTCGGAGCTAGAAGTTTTATAGTTAGAGTTAGAAGTTTTATAAAACCGGACACTGATTGGTCCAAAACGAAATTCTTTTCTTTTATCGTAGACCTAATCAACTTTTCTTACATCCTTGTAATCTGTCGTTTTACTCAGATAATGAAGTCTCAGTCCAAGGTCAATTGCGGATCATAAATCAACGATACGTTCCAGCCTTCAGAGACACACAAAGCGCAGATTACATAACCATTACTATAACATTAACATTTCAGGTTCGTTGTTGTATAATATGTTAATAAATAATGGTAAAAGAACGAATATTAGTGCAACTAATGTTATGCAAAATCATGCGTATAGTTACAACTTGCATGATTTTGACAATGCACGACGTAACTCGCTCTATTACGTATATATAACTATTTTCTCTAATCAAAAAAGAGCAAAAATACAATTTTTTTAACTTCAGTACAATTATTTTTATCCAGTTTATAATAAATTATTTAACTTTCACAATTATATAATATTTAAATGAATAGATCTTAAAAAAAATAGCTGACAAATGTTTTGTTAATTTAGCTGACTACTCTCTACAGAAGCACACCAAGACTACGCTTTACGTTTCAGTCAATCAACATTTTACGGCTATTGTAAGTGACCGTTACAAAGTATTAACTTTATACCTTCACTAATATAACAATAGAGTTGATGTTCGCAGGTATATATAAATGTGTTTTTAGACCAAAACCACATTTATGCCCAAGAATATCAACTGTATATTGCTATTATATTAAATTTTAGCGCAATTTTTGTATATTTTTGTATAGATAATATGCAATAGGTAAACACTTTAGTCATACTTCTGATTCGCTTAGACCAGCCGGCTAAAATATACTTCATTTTAGCCCGCAAAATACACCGCAATACCGGCCAAAGTTAATGTAATAAACCTTTTCCATAATGACGTCAAACGCCGAAAGTCTAACGTTACACGAAATTTGATTGGCTTAACAAAATTATCGAGCTCATAAAACTTCATGTAACATCAGACTTTCCGTGTTTGACGTCATTATGGAAAAGGTCTATATTATGAATAATTTTTGAGGTTTCTGCACGATCAGCCTACATTTTTCAGGCAAATCCCATCAGACTGTAAAATAGTGAATCATGAACCTTTTTTATCGGAGCTACTGAAAATTAATTTTATGCACTCTGATTGGTTTTCTGAAACTTTAAACGAATTTGCTGATTAGCTAAAGCAAAACTACTCCTTGTTCTGAATATTGGAAACCATGCAGTGCATTGTTACATCATATTTTGCTCTTATCAATTACGAATTTAGCCCAGGATCAATTGGATTCGATTACGTGGCGATATTTAACGATTCAAAAGGGATAAACAATGAAAATGTTCAGGAAGAATTGGCCAGTTCAATAAATGTCACCAATAATGGCACATTTCTTGGCAATGACTTCCAAATCAGTAAAGAAACAAATTTGAAAAAGGTGGCAAACCTTTTAACCGTCCATGGTAAATAGCGAATGCTGTGTGTATCTGCATGAAAAAGATAATATGATTTCTAAACAAGAAGTATCTATAGTACTATCGTTATAGTGGTTTGCAAGTTACCGCCGCTGGAATCGTATACTTTAGGCTCTCCTGCATGGTCTATAGCCGGCAACGGGTGCATGGTGTTTGCATTATATGATGTCGAAATCTGACCGCAGTCCGGAATTCTATGCACTAATATAATTGTTTGTTTGCCAAGTTTTTATTTGAAATCCGTAAATATGGACCTTGAGTCGGCTGTACGTATGAAAGCCGGATAGTTCTATATCCACCGGATAGTGTTTTTTCAATCGCTGTTTGGTATTACTTTGATTGAATCTTAGTATTCTTAGATCGAGAATCTTCTTTAAGAGGGTTTTTTATCAACTTTGCCTTTTATAACGATACCTAGTAAAATTATTTACCCATAAATATCATGGACCTTGGATCGTTTGTATGAAAGCGGATAGCTCTATATCCCGGATTGTGTTTTTTCAACCGCTTTAAGATCGTCGCTGTTGGGTACAACATTGATTAAATCTTAGTATTTTTAGATCGAGAATCCTCTTTAAAAATTTTTGGCCCCAATTTTAGTGAATTAAAAATTCACTAAAAAAAAATCGTTCCTTGTGCAGGCCACCTCGCAGCCAGTAAATAACATGATGATCAGAAAATTTCATACTTTTAAGTTATTACTCTTTGGCTATTCAAGTTAAAATATCTGGGTAAAAATTCTGTCAATATTTTTCTTCGCAGATTACGACGAATGCGATCCTGAAAATGGTGTTCACACGGTTGATTGTGGAAACAACGCAACATGTGTCAACACGAACACAAGTTATTACTGTGCCTGTAACAAGGGATTTGTAAAGAATGGCACTGCTTGTATAGGTAGGTAATGATTCTACCATTTCCAGCACCCTCTTTGTGGAAGCATATTAATTTTTTCAATGGCTCAAAATGTTATCTCTAATAAAATATTCTCGGTTTAAAATATTTAAATACATAGTAAGAATATAATTATTAGCAATATTCATTGAAATTTTCAAGATGTTGATGAATGTCAGAACAAGACTCACAATTGTAATGAAAATGCTAATTGCATTAATATCGATGGCTCTTTCGAATGTGCTTGCAAATCTGGATACCGAGGGAATGGGACTTATTGTATTGGTTAGTTTATTTTATGAATGTCTTGAACGACATTTCTGTCCTATACGTCCGCGTTCTTTGTAATTTTCTACAATGAGTGTCCTCTAAACATAGGTGGTCTAATGATTTAACTTTTTAGATGTTGATGAATGTGCTGAAAAGAGTCACAATTGCCACAGTAATGCTACATGCGAAAATAATCATGGCTCCTTTGACTGCACCTGTAAATCTGGCTTTTTAGGAGAAGGAACTAATTGCAAAGGTTAGAGTATATGCCTCAGTTAGTGGTACCGCCTCAAAATTTTAATAAACACATTCCTATCTGGGGTAGGTTTTACTTTCCCCACTAACTCGAGGAGAGCTGCTAAAATTTTGTAACACGGAGTTTCCCTTCCCTACAAATGATGTACCAGTTGTACAGGTACTCAAGCACGATGGCAAAATACTTAAAAACTCACCATCCAATTTACGTAAAGATTGCCCCGATTACCCTGAAGATTCATTTAACAATGTTTCAAATATTTGTAGATATCAATGAATGCCAATCAAATCCCTGTGATATAAATGCCAATTGTACCAATATTCATGGTTCCTATGAATGCACTTGCCACATGGGTTACGAAAAAAGTGGCGTTGGTTGTAATGGTACACATTTCAAGCTAATTTAATTGATTAGATATATTATAATTTTTCTTAAAATAGTACTAATGGTGACGAAATACCACTATTTTCAATTCCAACAAAAATCCCTTAATAATTATAATTTTTGTTAAGACTATGAAAAAAACTCGCCAAGAAAATGAATTAATAACTTAAAATTTTTTTAAGAATTCTCTGTCTTCACAAACGTTCAACCAACACGTCAAATTAACCTAGTCTCAAAGTTGCGAAGACTCGATCTTGCAAAGCAATGTTGAAAAATATTTTTAATCTATCATCTATACTAACAAACGCAGCTATATTACTCTCCATTGCTTCGAAAAACCATCCGTTTAATTAAATGTTTCATACATATTTTAATTGCAGACATCAATGAATGTCAATCGAATCCTTGTGATGTAAACGCAAATTGTACTAATACCGATGGTGGATATAAATGTACCTGCCATAAGGGATATCAAAGAAACGGCACAACCTGTACAGGTATATTTTTGTAGCTTTTATGATGTTTATTAACCTGATATTTATTACAGCTTCTCTACGTTTCTACTTCCAGGCCTTTAATGAATGTGGAAAATTAATGTTTCACAAAATAAAACGGTGTTATATATTTCTAGATATCAATGAATGTCAATCAAATCCGTGCGATGTTAACGCAAATTGTAACAATATCGATGGTGGATATGAATGTTCGTGCCGCAATGGATACGAAGGGAACGGTACCAGCTGTACAGGTAGACAATGGAAGCAATTAACGTCATGAACTAAAGATGGGAAAAATAGAAAATACTTTGGAACCGAATGTTTTAATTCAATTAAAAATTCCCCTTCCTGAAAATAGCAATAAACATACTTGGGTAAAAAATACTGTTACTTTAGTTTAAATAATGTCACTGTGTTCATTCCCTAATAAGTACATCAAATTTTCCTGAATTTTTTCAGAACACACTGCAATCAACCAATAAGTCCAACTAAATTATTTAATGAGAGAAATTTCCAATTCCCTACCAAGTGGTAAAACGTCACATCTTAGCAATAACTTCATTTCTGGATACCTGACACGAACACGAGAAAACCAATTCAACTGTGTTTCATTTCCTATTAGATATCAATGAATGCGGATCAAATCCCTGCGACGTAAATGCAAATTGTACAAACAATGATGGTTCGTATGAATGCACCTGCCATATGGGGTATGAAAGCAATGGCATCAGTTGTGCAGGTACACATTGGAAACAATGAATGATATTAGTGACAACATTAATTATATAAAAATTTCAATGTCAATAAGTATTTAATTAATTTTTAAGTCGTAACTGTGTTGCATGTCTGTAGACATCAATGAATGCCAATCAAATCCATGTCATTTAAATGCAAATTGCAACAATACCGATGGTGGATATGAATGTGCTTGCTACCAAGGCTATGAGGGGAACGGTACCAATTGTACAGGTATATAGACATTGGAAACTATTATAATGACAGTATTAATAAGCGGAAAGCTTAAAACTAAAAGACCTAAAAACAGAATGATCCAATCGTCTTGCCTAATATTTACAATGAGCTGACCAGTTTCGTCTTGTTTAGAAGTGTCAAATACGCATATACCATATCACAAACCATATGATTTTGTTACAGATCTATTTGATTTTATTACTGAAAAATTTCTATTATCATTTTAACCTCTGTGAACCAAAAACAATCTAGATATCATTAGACTGATAATTAATTTAACACGTTCAAATGTTTTGAATGTTTTTAGATATCAATGAATGTCAATTAAATCCCTGTGATGTGAATGCCAATTGTACCAACACTCATGGTTCCTATGAATGCACTTGCCACATGGGATATGAAAAAATTGGCGTTGGCTGTCAAGGTACACTTTTCAAACATAAATGTAATTCAAACATTGAAATGCTATGATGAAATTAACACTTCGTTTAGAATTATCATGCACTGCCTTAATATTATACTTTTGGGAAAAAAGATTCAAAGAACTCGCTTAACTTCTCTCTCGCCAAGAATTCTGTGTCAATCATCACGTCAAATTGTCGCAATCTTTTACATGTCTTATAAGTTATTACTTGCCATTACTTCGGAAAAACTCGAGACCGCCCTTGTGACTGTTTCATACATTTGTTAATTGCAGATATCAATGAATGTCAATCTAATCCTTGCGATGGAAACGCAAATTGTACCAATACTGATGGTGCATATGAATGTACCTGCAAAAAGGGATATGAAGGCAATGGTGCAACTTGCGCAGGTATATTTTTGAAGCTGTAGTGATAACCCTGGGGCTGGTTGTTCAAAAGCAGGTTAACGTTTCACTTTTTTATTTTTTCATTGCTTGTTTCCGTGAGTATTTTCTGGTTCAATATAAAAGTCATATTAATATTTTTTAAAGTTTTGAAAGGAATGGCGATGCAGAGGCTCGTAAGCTACAGTACTGTATTGAAATAATAAATTAAAACTTCAATTAAGCGGTCAGTTGTTGAAAGTTAGGTTATCGCTAACCAGGATCAAATTTTAATTCACCGCTGTTTTACAGTACTGTGCCAAACCGCGGTGCGATCCAGGTCGGTCCAACCTCGGTCGAACCTCCGTTGAGCCTCGGTCGATAACATTCCGTTCGGAAGCGAACGGCAACCGCGATCGTATTTCTCCCCTATATAGCAGTCGTATGCGGTTTTAATCGGTCGAACGCAACCGAACCGCGACCGAACCATAACCACAGTACTGTAAAACAGTGGTGGATTAAAACTTGACCCTGGGTTAGCGATAACCTAACTTTCAACAACTGACCGCTTGAAGTTTTAATTTATTTGCAAAAGAAAAGTTAATTTCTAATTTGAACAGAATTGTAGAGATTTCCTACATTTCTAATTTCAGGGCGTTGAATGATAGTAAAATTTGATATTTTATAAGAGCGGTACATATTTTATAAGAGAGGCACATTAGCCAAAATTTAATAGGCTTTCCTATAATTAAGACGCCAAATTTTCGTATCCTTTGTGAAGACGTTTCAAACTGTCTCTAAAACAGAGCTTGTTTCAGACGATTTTTTTGGGACCACTCTTTCCTCAAGTGTTCAATTTTACGAAAGCGTACGCTTATGTTTTTGTTTTCTTTCTTGGAGTTACTGGGGCTCTTTCTTCAAGTATTTAAATTTGCAAAAGTTTGTACTTTGTAAACTAGGCTTGTGCACGCACAGACGCTTCTTTAAAACGGATAACTCTCTACCGTTGAAAAATTTCACAGTATATTTCTTTAAATACCTCACTGTGTGATATGTTTCTAGATATCAATGAATGCCAGTCAAACCTTTGTGATGTAAATGCAAATTGCACGAATATTGGTGGTGGATATGAATGTTCTTGCCACAGCGGATATGAAGGTGACGGTGCAAGCTGTACAGGTACACAATGAAAGCAATTGTGATTTTAGAATTCGCCACCAAGCAGAAAAACGTTACATCTCAACAAAGTCATTCCACAATAGCTCACAAGAAGAGAAAGCCTATTCAACTCTGCATGTTTTTTTTCTATTAGATATCAATGAATGCGAATCAAACCCGTGCGGCGTAAATGCAAATTGTACAAATAATGATGGTTCGTATGAATGCACCTGCCATATGGGGTATGAAAGCAATGGCATCAGTTGTGCAGGTACACGTTGGAAACAATGAATGATTTTAGTGACAAAACTATTTATATGAGAATACTTTAATGTAAACAAGTATTTAATTTTAAAATGTTGGATCTCTGTAGACATCAATGAATGCCAGTCAAATCCATGTGATGCAAATGCGAATTGTACCAATATCGATGGTGGATATGAATGTGCTTGCTACAAAGGCTATGAGGGGAACGGTACCAATTGTGCAGGTATACATTGGAAACTACATATTATAATAGATTATTTAAAAATGTCAATGTAATAATAAGCGAAAATTTCAAAAGATCTAAACAGAATGTTTAATCCACTTGAAGTTTGTATTGCCTGGAACTTACAATTACCTGACCAGGTTCGACATGGAGTGTAAAATAAACATATACCATACCACGAACCATGCATTAATTTTTATACTGATAAAAAACCTATTGTTAGTTTATCAGCCGCTTTGTAGCAGAAACATACATCACTCATTTATCTATAGATATTATTGCACTGACAATTAATATTTTGTAGATATCGATTTTTCAAGCAGGCAAAATTAATATAAGATTTTAAAATATAACATTTATAGTACGCGCGTGCTGAATGGCCAAGAAGCGTGTTTCTATTTAACAATTAGTCGCCGAAGGCGAGGTGATTACAAGCCTATATTCACTGAGCCGAAGGCGAAGTGAATATAGACTTGTAATCACCGAATCTGAGGCGACTAATTGTTTTAGTATAATTTCAGTATTGAAAAAGTTTTATTTATAAATACAACTGATACACGTGTTTATTTTATGAATATGATTTTGATTTTGAGTATTTTCAGCCATGTTTTTTTGGGGAAAAGCAATAGTTACTGCTCAGACTGCTCTGAGCAGTAACTATTGCCTCAGAGTTACTGCTGAGGGAGCCAATCAGAATGCGCAAAGGCCATTTTTCAATACTGAAAATATACTAAAACTGTATAGAAACACGGGAATTTTGCTGCCGAACTTGACAAGCGAAGCGATGTAATGAGAATATGTAATTGAATCGAATTAATATAATATTTGTATAAAATCTTTTTCGGTATCAATGAACAATAGAAACTTTCAAGACTTAAATGATAATGTGTTAATAAGCGAAATGGCAAAATACTTAGCTGGCTCCCTACAATTTGAGAAAAAAAATTCCCGGATATATTAACGAACATTGTAACAGTCAGAAATTGACCATAGGTATTACGCCATTACCGTTGATCGTTGTTATGGTAACAAAGCCATGATGTTATCTTTATAGTTAATTTCTGACTCATAGAATGGTGGTTAATATATCTGGCCGATTTCGTTTATCTTAGGAAGAAATCTCTTCACAAAAATTTAAATCCAAATAACGAGTTTTCCAAATTTCCAAAATTATAGGGACAGAATGCTCTGATTGATTTGAAGATTACTTTGTCTGAAACAATCAATAAGCCATAATCTATAATTTGTTTTTAAACTGTGAAATAAACATAGACTAGGTCACTAGCTACTTAAAAATTATAGTTGAAATATTTAATACAAAAATCTGTTGTCATTTCAGGCACTGTTTAGCAGAAATATAATTCACCATTTCAATAGTTTATCACCACCCTGGTAATTACGTAATTTAAAAAAATAATGTTTTAAATATTTGTAGATATCGATGAATGCCAATCAAATCCCTGTGATCTAAATGCCAATTGTACCAACATTCGTGGTTCCTATGAATGCGCTTGCCACATGGGGTATGAAAAAATTGGCGCTGGCTGTAAAGGTACACATTTCAAGAATAAATATAATGGAAATATAATATTTTTAGCGAGTGATCATGACGAAATGCTTACGTTTTCAATTCGAACTGCAGTGTCTTACTAAAAGAACGTGCCAAACTTATATTTGTTCGATGAATTTACTGTCTGAACTTGCAATCAATTAAACAACTATATGGCAGCCACATTACTCGCCTTTGTGTCGGAGAAACCCGAGATAATCCATGTAAATATTTTATGGTGATTGCAGATATCAATGAATGTCAATTTAATCCTTGCGATGTAAACGAGACTTGTACCAATAATGAAGGTGGATATGAATGTACCTGCAAAAAAGGATATCAACGAAAAGGCAGAACTTGTGCAGGTATCTTTTTCTAGATGTTATGATAATTATTAACCCTAAAGGAATAAGGATTACGTCTCTTCGGAAAAAAAAATAAACTTCCATAATGCAGAGATTTCTGGAACTTTCCTACGTTTCTATATCCAGGCCTTTCACTGGCATTGAAAATCGATCATTTACACAAGAGAGTTACATTAGCCAGAATATTGGCTTCATAGGCTGTATTATTGAAGACATGATCCAATTCTGTCGGATCCAATTCTTCTCTGATGGATGTTTTAAAGTCTGTTAACTTGGAATCTATACAGGCAACAAATCAACTTAAGCGAATGCAGCACTGCATTACAAATAACATTCCATATGTCAAAAGTGAATTGGATCCGACTAAATTGGATCGTGTGAACAGGCTTTTAGAGTGCTAAATTTTCGAAATCTTTACAAATGATATCCTTTGCAATATGCTTCAGGCGTTGTCTTTTGCACACATGTGCTTTTAAAAGCGGATAATGAACGGTTCCCCGTTCCTGTAAAGCATCTTATCAAAGAATATACAATTATAGTAAAGCAGTTTAATTATAGGGTAATTAAAAATTTTTAATGAAAATTCAAAAATTATAAAAAATTGATCTTTCTGATATTATTGGGTTTTATTGGTGAAATAAAGTACATATTTTACATCATTTCTGCACTATTCTGTAAATCCATAAATGTTTTTATCTCTTAGATATAGATGAGTGTAATATGCCACCGGGAGCATGTAGAGGAACAGGTCAAATGTGTACCAACTATCCTGGTGGACATCGCTGTAGTTGCATCAGTCCAAGACAACTGCTTAGCGATGGACAATGTGTTGGTATGTAAAGTATATGCTAAAAACGTTTAAGAGAGGAGAAAGCGAAACAGAATTTTGAAGTGAGACCAGTGTAAAGTCTTCAGACTGACCAAATACATATACATTTAAATGCGTTTTTATATATCGGGGGCTACAGATCGAGGTATAGCTGACCAGAGCGAGTGTAGTGCGTATTTAGGATGGTAATGCAAATAGCTAGGTGAGACGAATGACGTCAAAAATTCATTAGCAGCTAAAATTATTTATTAATTTCTTCCCTTATTAATTTTTCAAGGTAAAACGTCTATCACAGGCTACTGATTTCCTCCAACTGTAATTGTCAGAAAACGATTTGCCCAAAAAAATATTGGGCGCTAAAAGGCATCAAACTGCTATAGCTAGAAAACCACGCGAATACCCCTATTTTATATGAAAATATCAAAATACATAGTATATTTTTCAATAACTTCCTTAAACTTAATTAAGGCCCATTACACGGTGCAATTTTTCTTGCAACTTGCAATGCAATTCTACTTTTGAGAGACGTACACTTGGCAACAACGAAATTTTTTGTTTTTTGCACTTTTCTTCTGCAAGACTCTTCACTAATTTACATATCTAAGAAGTAAAATTCCATTGCAAGTTGCAAGAACAATTGCACCGTGTAACAGGGCCTTTAGGAAAGGCCCGCTACAGCTCAAAACACAACTGACTTCCGATTTTTTTTCTTCAGATATTGTGGCGTCTATCCAAGGTCAATTGCGGATACTGAATCGTCAATTTCTCGTTGCCTACGATAACCAAGCAAGCTTTGAGTATTTCGAATTTACTGAGGAAATAAATATTGGGGTAGGTGCATGTCGATATATTTTTTACATACACATCCACAAACAGTTTAATTTGTTTGCATTTTGAACTAAAATATTATTTTTATAAATTTAATATGCATAGCTATATATTATGCAGTACCAAATATCTATATATATATATATATATATATATATATATATATATATATATATATATATATATATATATATATATATATATATATATATATATATATATAGTTAACAAAAGTGCATGAAGCGACTCAAAATTGACCCTCAAAAGATTTAAAACCTTCAATTTAACCAAATTTTAACATGTTTTGTTGTTGTTGCCACCACGCAGTTTAGACAAACATAATAATTATAACATCGTGCAAGTCGAACCTCTAGTTATATACTTATTTATTTTAAATTTAGTTGGAAAATCTTTTCAAAAAAACAGAGACATTGGCATCTACGTTTAAAGCAATCACCATTAAACGATTATTGTAAGTCGACATCATTGTATTTTAATATCATAGATACATTGATGAGTTTATCCAGAAAAATGATCGCAACAAATTTTTATCCTATCTCTATTGACAGCAATTGGTTCATTTATGTTGCGTTCACATTTTCCCCTCTGGCTCTGGCAGCCAAATTTTAAAACAAAACTAAATCTGCTTTGTTGCAAAACACGTATATAGAAATATAGCTCAGGTTGATATTATTTTTTCGGGTGTCTAACAATTACTCGCCGAAGGCGAAGTAAATATAACTGAATATTAGTCGAGGTTTTTCTTCCGTGGTATTTGCTTAGCCTAAGTTGAATAATTGTTGTAGTATGGTTACAAAGGTGACCCAATTTTTGAAGGAACGAATCTGTGAAAAATACATTTTTTACAAAGTTAACGTAAATAAATATTTCGACAATTTTTCGGCAATTCGAATGAAACGATGTTTTACCAAAATAAAGTTACAGTCTTGCCAATAGAAGCTTCCGAAAAATGTTGACCAGCTCATTTTCTAACTTGAAGGAACACATCTGAACAATTCCTCAACAATTTCAACAGTTTCTTAAAAAGTTTCTAACTTCCTGTTTTATTGACCAATCAGATTGCAAAAATAAAATATAAAATTTGATTCGTCAATGAAACAGGAAGTTCGGAACATTTTAAAGAATTTTTTTTAAATTGTTGAGGGATTGTTCAGACGTGTTCCTTCAAGCTAGGAAATGAACTGTTCAACATTTTTCAGAATGCTTCTGTTAATTGGCACGACTGTAAGCAACGTTTATATGGTAGTTTTTATGTAAATTGACTGCTTTTGTGCTTTTAGGTATTTTCGTTAAAATGACTTGTTTCTTCATCTGTCGCTTTGTCATGCAAGACCACTCGCTTCTATTTTTAAAAATCCGCTTACCTGATTATTTCGCGTAGTAGTCCGAGGACGCTCGACCAATCAGAGACCAGAAATTTCAATGCACCTTAAGTTTTCCTGTAATTCTGCTAAAATTTGATTATTTTAATTTTCTAGCGCGCAATATATGCGGACATTAAATTCTAATTCATATTCGTTATTATTACAGCAACGGATCCGTTGGTGTCGACTACGTCGCAGGATTTAGCAGCGCGATAGGATTGAGTAGTGAAAATATTCAAAATGAAATATTCAGGGCATTAACTTTCTCAGAGAGTGGCGCGTATTTTGGCAACAACCTTAAAATCACTGACAACAACAATATCACTCAATTGCAAATGGAATTAGCAGAATTGTTCAAATTTACAGGTATACAAATGCAGTTCCTACTATCAATAAACAGTGAAATGATAGTAGAGGACAGTGATGAAGTAATGATGACAGTATAATGATGCCCGTTTTGATTTAATGATGTAATGATGATTTGCATAAAGCATTATTACAATTTTTTGACATCCCTATAGTAATGTGTCTTCTAGTATATATTATAACGTGTCTTCTAGTGTATAATAGAGATAATTTTTCTGAATGTATAATGAGAAGTTGCTAGGATTATAATTTCAATGATCATATCTTCAGTAGCGAAAACATGAATCATTTTATTCCAATTAGTTTCATGCACTTGCTCATAGAACATAAAATACGTGCCTATGCAGTTGAGGCGCGCAGCCTTTAAGATTTTTTTGGTCCCCGTGCAGTTTCCTCATTTTCTCTTCATAAACCCATGTACTCAATCGAAACAATCTATCTTTCGCTCTATACATCAATATTCATATCGCTTTACTTATACATCGTATATTGCGCAGGAATATTATAGATATCAATTCTTCCTTGTTCTATATTAAAATGAATTGTCCCTCCACTATAGTCTCTTTGCCTTGTTTTGGATTAAAATGAATGTTTGCCCGCTATAGTTTTCTGCCTTGTTTTCGATATTAATGAATGTACCAAGCTATACAGGGTGTCTAAAAAAACTGCAACCTTAATAATTCCCAGGGGCCTACGATCATTTGTTATTGAATAGAAGCGAACATAAAATTATATGAATATTAAGCGGTTGAATTTTTTTTTTTTGTTTTTCATTAGTTCCGTCTTGTTTTACGGATTATACCACTTGTTTTAGATTACAATGAATGTGCCCAAGAGACTGTTTGTTGGGAAAACTCGAAATGCGTCAACACAAACACCAGCTATAACTGTGTGTGTGATGAGGGATTTGAACCTGTCGACGATGGAACTGGTTGTATTGGTAAGTTGTCACTATAAACACGTATAAATATATTCAATAATGGTGATCCAAATTTCGCTGTAGGACATTTTACACTGTGCAATGGCTAATCCTTGTAAGGTTGGTTCAGCCTTGTACCCAGGCGCTCTAATTGTAAAGAATTATGTTGCATTCAGTTATTGTATAGAGGTCAGCTAAGAAAAACGCGAGCGCGCGGGGGTGCTTGGGGTGATTTTGCCAAGTTTAGCGCCTGGCAGAAAATGAAGTCAACATGGAAACAATCAAATGAATTATACAATATAATACAATAAAATATAATTATATACTATAATTTGTTAAAATTTTTTAAAAATGTTATAGGTTGATTAATATTGAACATTTCATGTTACAAATTAAATCCGATAAGTATCACGTATAGAATCAATTTACTTTTAAACTCAAGTTGTTGCCATATCGCGTTGAATACGTCCTCGGATTATTAAACCTGTAAACAAAGGAATATAAGTTTATCTTTTATGTCATGGACAGAAACCTCTTAATATTATGTTGAAATGTGCTCGCTTTTCCCAATAGTAGATATGTAAATACGGCAGGCGATTATTCGAGTACTCTACGATATAGTCACTCTGACGGAAAATGTATTTAAATAAAAGTACCTTCAGATGATTCTTCGCCAAAGGAAACGTTCATAATACTTGGCTAGCCCGTCGACAGTCGATTCAGTACAAAAATTATAAATAATGAAAATAAAAACTGCAAAATACAAGCGTTTTCCAGAAATCGGTCACAATTTGCCAGAAATCGGTCATTTTCTGCCAGGCGCTTCCTCGCTAAAACAAACCTCCCCAAGCACCCTTGCGCGCTTGGCTTTTTCAGCTGAACTCTATACAATACCTGGATGCAACGTTATATTTAAGAATTAAAGCGCCCGGGTACGAGGCTGAGGCTGGTTTTTGTAATATCATTCGGTATAGCGTATAGATTTCTATTCGTTTGTTAATTCGATTTTCGTATTGTCAGATTGCAACCGAATTATAAATAATGACATTACCTTTAATCTGATATCCAACTGAATCATTTATTCAACTTTTTTGTTTCATTTAGCTGCGAAAAAAGGTGGTAAGTAGATTTCACTTTGTATTTCTAGTCGTAGAATATTCAAACTATATTTCCTTCGGGCTTCGGATCCTATAGTTATCCTAGAAGTTATGTTTAAATAATTCAATGACACATTTTAGTTAAACTAAATATTATTATGAATGTTATGACTGTTATTATTAGCCAAATAATTACTGAATTCCATGATTGGTTGAAGGAAGTATGTACATATCGATGATGCCTTAAAAGAATTGTTAACAAATAATCATGCAATGTAGCTGGTATAAGTAGGGATTAACAGTACTCGTTTTGTTTTAAAATTTTACTAAATTTAGACTCAACGGCTTAACGCGGCTTCTGCACTTTGGTAAAACTATCAAAAGTCACTCGAATTATAATTTTATCCTGAACTGTACATCGGATGATTGACTACATTTGTAATAGTTTTACTGTATCTATATTATAGTTAGTAAAGACGTTGTTAACGTTGTCAAGACACTGCTTGTGGCGATTATTGTATGGTTTACCTTGTGTTTTGTGACAACCTTAATCATCACTGTGATGGCGGTGTTTAGGTAAGACATGACTGACATGCGTTTATTTATACCATGTAGTGGGGTAGCCAACCTGAGGTTTTAAGGGGGGTTTTCCATGCAGCAGGCGCTATTCTGCGCGCGGAGTGGAACTTTTCGCTGCCTATATCGGAACTAATATGAGAAAAACAAAGAAAAATTCTGCTACGCGCGTATAATTCAGCCAGGTGGAAAGCCGGCTTCCACTACAGCGATTTTTTCGCGCATATCGAACTTATTCTTCATTATTTGAGCGATTTAATCCTGATGGTTGCAGTTGAGAGCACTAGGCTAAATTTTTCGTCTGATATTCTTTTTAACTGTGAGAATTCGACCGTAGTGAATTCCCCTCACCGGTCACAATTGAGAGAAAATTTCGAGCGAAAAATTCCGCCAAGTCGAAAACCGGCTTAAAATGTCACTTCGCGAGAAAATTATCACTATGTAATAATTTATGCATTTTCTTTAGCATTTGTAACTCCTTCCGCAGTGAGGCAAGCGCAGAGGAGTTTGGAAAAGATATCGAAGTCGTACCTGTCTCTATCACTACTCCTTCATACAAATCACATCTGGTAATTGATGGTTACTATGTAAACGAGTAACCATCCAGTTGCACAAACACCATGCATTTATTAAATTTCTTTGCTTCACGAAGATGAAACATTTTCGAAGCTGTAATGAAAATTAATCTGTTCTTATATGCATATATAAAGACGTATAATTATGAAGACGACATATCTAAACAAGTATTACATAAGTTCCTGAAATGTTTTTTATAATGTTTAAATTCCGCTACTTTGCATGGTATTTTAAGGGATGCACAGGATAAAATCCTTTTTAACACACGAATATACTGTCTATTAAACTCCTAACAAGTCTTTCTTAATAATTATATTGCTTTTTAATGTGAGCCAATGTTATATTCACTTGTGTCGTTTGAGCAAAACAGTAAATTTGTTGAATTATTCCCAAATTTCGCTATGAAGTTTTCAAATTTTGTCATTATATTTTTGTGACCAAAAGTGAAGAATTGACGCTAATTTTACTAGATGAACAGCGATGGTTACGAAATCTAAACTATTTTTCTAAATGAAGAAGCGTATGAGTGGATGTACACGCTTTGGTACATCCTGCGTAAAAATTGGGCCCGTGAAACCCATGAAAATTGGGCATGGCCGGATTGTGCCGTCGTAAAATCGGAAAAAGGTGCTCGCTAAAACTAGAAAGTTGCTCCCTAAAAAACGAAAAAGTTACCCAAAAGTCTCGAAATATTAACCATTGCTACAAAAATTCAAAAATAAATAAAATTATTTCACTGGATCCTTAGTATTTAATTACAAATATTGGTAAGATTGGTATGGAAATGTTAAACTGAACGCTGATTCATTTCGCTATCTATTAGCGATCGCTGTCTATTAGCGATTAGGGTGATTAAAATCAGGATACATAATTTGAAACAGCATTAGATTTTTTTTTAGTTGAGTGTATTTTGGTGGGAAAACGTTCAAAACATAAAAAACTTTTTGGCATACCACTCAAAATTTTTTTATTTAACATTTATTATTTTGATTATGTTGCATAAATTATGTCTTGCAAAACACTAACGACAAGAGTTATTTCAAGATATAAAGCGGCTATCACTGAATGTTATATATGTCAGCTCCATTATCACTGAAATGAACACAAAAGTAGCTTTGATTCAAGTGTCATTTTCTTCTCGGCATATCCCGAGAAATCTTTTCATTTTCTAAATATTTTGAGATAATACAGTAAACACCTTATAAATGCTTTTCAGAGCTGCAAAACATTTTTAATGTTGAACATTTTATTACTGTTGCATGAAGATATAATATAAACTGAGGTTCTGACAATATAATTTATTACGTGACATAGAAAGATATCTTCTCTTAGTCATTTTGAAACGAAATGAATATGGATAAATATTGAATAATGTGTATTATGGATAAAGAAAGACCGGTGACCTCAGTGTTGGGGGTGATGGGATGATGACACCTGAACGCTGCGGAAGAGGTTGGGAATGATATTTGGGAAAGTTGAGGAATTCAAAGAACAACTTGAAACACAACCATGATTCCCGTAATTTGATAGCCATTGCCACTTGCAACGTTGCACGTGCATGGTTAAAGTTTTCGAGATAAACGCTTCGATATGACTCTACAATTCAAACTTTTGTCTTTACGTTGAATTGTCATGGCCATAGTGTATCGAGAAGAAATAACATTTATATATTATTATGAAAGCAATTAGATTTACTGTTACTCCTGAGAAAAAATTCGACGTAGAATATATATATATATATATATATATATATATATATATTTATATATATATATATATATATATATATATATATGTATATATATACACCCATTTGCAAAAACGTTGGCCGCAGATAGATAGATAAATAGATACTCGAAATCTAATTAGAATTGCATATGTTGTGTAATATGATTGAAATCCCAGGCAAATGTAATCATATGCAATTCTAATTAGACTTCGAGTATCTATCTATCTGCGGCCAACGTTTTTGCAAATGGGTATATATATATATATATATATATATATATATATATATATATATATATATATATATTATGCGAACATGCGGATAAAAGAAATTTTTTGTTAAGTTTTCCAGACTGGAAACCATGCAGCCTTGATACGACATGAAAGAAGATATAATTCAGTTTTGTGGATTGGTTGATTTTTATACTCAGATTAGCCGCCATGCAGAGGTAAAGTTGACAAATGTTTCGTAGTTGCCAAATTTTAACATCTCTCAAAACTAGATTTCTCTTTCAGTTTTATGGAAATTTGCAATGTATTCAAGGCGTTAACTTCATATAATCGTTCCCACTGAGTTTTAAAGCGAAAATATTTCTTTAAAATTTTATAATTCAAAAAGAATTTAATACTGCTCATTGTAAAATTGGATGATTGGAATGTTACAAAGTTTTTTTTCAGGAATTCTAAATGAATTTTTTTAAAAAAATTTTTTAAAAAAGTGCATTTATTGAGGTGAAATCCACAGTACTGCTCAGAAATAACCTAATCAAAAACGCGTTCAAAACGTGTTCCACAACGCTTTCCAAACGCGTTCCAGAACGCATTCCGAACGCGTTCCACGTTCCAGAACGCGTTTCAATCGCGTTCCAGCTAGAACGCGTTCCGAACGCGTGTCTGGAACGCGTTCAAGGACTTCGATACAGATTGAATGCTGTGTTGTCGCCGACAAGGAATGAAGTGCAGGTATGAACAAACATGCATTTGTTAACTGAAATAGCTTAGCTGAGAGTACGGGTCGATCATTATACTTCAGACCTTCGCTTCACAATATCGGAATCTCAATTGTTTTACATGTATAAGGCACAGTATGATATGAATAAAATTCGAAATACGTAATTACCGTTACTACTATATACACTGTCTAAATGTATACAAAATAAGAACTAAAAACAATGGTTTAACAACCGAAAGTTTCTTTGATCAAAGACGGTGATAAGAGTCTTCTAATTTTAACAGCGTTTTCCTAGCCAACTAAATACTGGCTTTGGTTAAGCATAGCATATCCTAAGGCCATCAAGTCCGAATTTCTCAAGATTCTACATACATATTACTATCATTTTCGAATGAGATACACAAGTCACACATGCGCTTATTTTTACGCGAAATAAAATAGCGCTTGTCCCTTAAACTAAAAGCGGAATTAATGAACCGTAGCATAAGCATATTGACTTCGATAATTTATTCGGAATTTCTAAGTGAAAACACTGGAACGCGTTCGGAACGCATTTCGGAACGCGTTCGTTGCATTAGGTTACTTTTGAGCAGTACTGTATTTCGAGTTAAAGTGAACGCTTTTCCTAGCTGATGTCGTATTTGAATGCATGCAGATAACAACATGCTTTGTCGAAACTTTCTATTTAAGGAATTTTGTCGTCCTGAATAAATTTTGTAAAACAAAGCCATTTCGCTGTGTCCATAAAATAATTAAATCAATACGTTCATCCTTTGTTAACGTTCACATAAATAATACCATATAAAGCGTGTATAAAACGGAGAGGAGAGACATGTTTGTATGTTGTGCAGGACTGCAGGTCTATTTAGGTAAAATGTTTTTATCATATTAAATAGCAAATGCGGAAAGCGATTGTTCAAATTCGGATATTATACACAAAGCATTCCAAAGTTTGCATCTGCTATAAAAAGAAATTCGAACCTGAAATTGCAGCAAAACTCACCCGTGTGAACTGTGTATCAATTCAAACTAAAATCACGATGAACATCACAAAATAAGATAGAGATATTGTTAGCAAACAACCAATGTAGAACAGTAGAAGTCATACGGGAAGCTCGCTGTAAATTAACATGTTCTACACGGCAGAATTTCAAATTATTGACGCAAATAGCACCAATAATTAAAACCACGGGTAAGCGCTGGTACATAAGAAAATACAAAAAACGCATTCCTGTGAACAATACTCTCTTGAATATGAATATAACACAGACTGTAATCAGAAAGAAATATTCCTTCGTTTGCAAACAGTTTGCATGTGCCGCTATATTGTGGACATTGTCAGTTATTGGAGGCCAGTATGGTAATCTAGGTTCCCATAAAAACCATCCACGTAGAGATTGAGGTCAATAGATCAAAAATTATATTATTTGACCGAACATGCACAGAGAAAGTTATTTAAATTTAACTGCAGTTCGAGTATAGTGAGTTTTCCGTAACTGGCGGTATATTATTGATTTAAAACAAGAAATAAATTAAGTCATAAGATTGTCGGCAAAAAGCTAACTCCATACCATTACCAGAGATTTGCGACATGATAATTTGCATGTATACTAATTTGCATTTAACTTTCAGCATAATGGCCTTCAACATTTACTATAAAATATATATAGTAAATATACAAAACTTAAAAATGCCGTTGACCTAGACCTTGCCTACTGTTTGCCGACCTCTAGATCGGTCGAGCAGCTGTTTAGAAACGTTTTGGTGGCCGAATTTTTTTGCTTGGGCATTTCTGTAATCTGCCAAATTTAAAAATATATTGCTCAAAGTTTTGTCCGTGTTCTGTCAACGAACTTATAAAATCGCTCACATTGATTCGAATATTTCGATTCAGGTAGTTGATGAATTGACGTGTAATATACCAAAAAAAATTGTTAAAGATATTGTCTTTCGTATTTGCGTATAAACTTTTCTGTACGACTCGGATTTTCACTGCAATCACTTTAAAAAATATTATCAGTCTTATCAGGAACTTGAACAATACGAAGGCTATATACACATTTGTTCACAATCAGTTGGCCGAACGTAGAAATACCTAAGGTAAGTAATTCGATCATTAAAACGTTGGGAAACGGCTGTTCTATTGACCCAGAGGTCGGCAAACAGTGGGCAAGGTCTAGGGCAACGACATTTTAAGGTTTTGTATATTTACTATATGTATTTAATAGTAAAAGTTGAAGGCCATTATGCTGAAAGTTAAATGCAAATTAGTATAAATGCAAATTATCATGTCGCAAATTTCTGGTAATGACCTTATACCAAATTTATAGAAGGTAACTTTTACTTTTGTATGGTACAAAGTACAAACAACTAATGCTGTGCATTACCACAGGCCCCACAGTGCTCATTCATAGAAATACAAATATACATTTGGACTAAAATATTCAAATTTGCATTGTATAATCATAAACTAAGATTGAGTAATCTGATTTCCAATTTTGAAGGCAATTCCACCAAATAATTTTCTAAATGCTGTAAACCAACCGTAGCGTATATATGTCACATAGATTATATATTTGACGGTGTTATAAATTATACCGA